GGCGCTTATTTACAGTCTAAAACGTATTGTTAGGTCTCCGTTTGTTAATTAATTTTTTCGAAAATTCTTTCCAACTAAACTTCAGCGACAAAAACTGGTTTATTCTTTCTGAATATAACTTTACGATACACTTAATTTCAACATTCGCGCTAAAACAAACGCTATAACAACGAACGTTAACTTCAACAATACTCTCTGACTGCAGATCAAATACTCACTACCTACACATTGTTCCCGTCACGTTGTGCCCATCTTATATATACCAGACTACCCCCAATCTAGTAATCTCCCGATAATTCCCGAAGGTTCGAGAGAAGGAGTGGCGTGATACTAGTCACGTGACCTCGCTGACGCAACAATATTATTGAGAAGCAAACATTTGGAAATCGTTTATGTTTTGATGCATTAGTTTAAAATTTTGTGTACTGTCAATGTTTCGAACTATCCATATCGCAATAAACCCGTGAACTTTATTATCTCACGTATTATCTCGTTATTTCTAGTACATGTCTTGACTTATCATAATATCAAGGATTCTTCTTCTCTGTACTTATTATTTCTATGAGATTTTGATTTGTATATGTGAACAATGAATTTTGTTATGACAAAATGTGCACACTCGGCGCTTTACTTATTTGTTACACACTAGAGGGCACTAATGACAGAAAGAAGTTGAATATTAATTACTATAAGAGTAGAGGAACAGTAGAGGTTGAATCACGCTTTCCAAACACAAAAGTTAAATCTTAACTTTTGATAATTAATACTACAGTGTAATGAAAATAAATATATTTATACTTTATACATTGTTCTACATTCACGATTTACAAACATTAGTATACAAATATGCACTATTGCCGAAAATATCTGGTCATTTATACATGAAAGAATGGTGGGTAGATTTTTCAAGGACAGTTCCTTAACTTTTAATCGATCTGAACACATTAAGAACGTGTCATATATGATCGACACTTTATATAATACTTTTGTTGCACATTATACCAGTTGAAAAATAATTTATAATTGATACGAAAATAGCTTTAGTTGCTGTTGGATTAAATTAATATCTTTTAAGGTTTTCTTTTTCCTGTTTCTCATTTATTTATTTAGAGAACGTGGTAGATATCAATAAATATTTAAAATATAAGTGTTATGAGTATTACTCTAAGAGACAGTAAATGTGTAACGATGTCACTAATTTCGAACCTTGTATTTTTCTTATCTTATTTTTCATCCAGATGTAACTAGGCTTTGGTTGTAAAGTTCAATGATAACAAGTGATTTCGTATTCAATTCCTGATAAATTAGTTAGTTCTGCCGATAGGCCTTTTTTAACTAACAATCTTTTCGTAACATATAACACTGTCAAAAAAGGCTTAGCTAGCATTAACAAAGCAGTGTTTAAGTGGAGGAGACGGCATTGTTGTACCATTGATTTTAACATAAGCTCTTTAGTATGAAGGTAAGTTTTTGCTTTTTTATTGAAGTTACTCTCTAAGGTATAATCAGTTGAATAATGAAATGGGGACATTTTTTTAGGTGACTGAACACGCTAAAAACAAAACCCTTATAAAGCTTAACATCACTTTCTAACTAAGGAAATTTAATTAATATTCGAATACAACTGTATCTAAGATATTTACATTGTAATAGTATTTCCAGTTTTTTATTAACTGTAGAAGATAATTCACTTAGTTTTAGTTTTACTGGAAGCGTGTTTTTAGCGTGTTGTTGCGAGAAAAAACATTTTTGGGATATATTAAGGTTTGTTCTAAAAGGAGGGAATACATTGGGCATCCATTGTTGCATCCATTGGGCATCATCTGGCGTTCCAGTGGAAATAATCACTATTTCTTTACATTCTGCTCTACATTGCGACAATCTTTCCCACGAGAACGATTATGTGACACTATATCTGAATGATCTAGTTCCGTGAGTAAATTAGCGACTCCCTTAACTGATATTATATATTAAGACTTAACAGAAAATACGTTGAGAAATTTTGAAGATTTTAATAAAAATTAGGAAGGGGGAGGAGCAAACACATGATATGCTTGCATGCCACAGCAATATGTAAAAATAGACAGTTTAACAGATTGAATTTGTACTAGCAAGCAATTCGCTTGGTGTTGTTTATCCTTTTCATGATCTAATGTCAGTTATTTACAGTAAATTTTAATTCATTGTGTTAGATGTGGTGTTTAGCGATTCAGTCATGTTTTGTTTTCTTAGATCACTCGGAAATGGTTGATTCTCGCAACTTTAATAATAACATTTCTGGTTTGTGGTACAGTAGTCACCATCGTTCTAGTACTAACTTTTTGGAAAACTGCCGGTAAGCTTTCTATGTATGGAATGTTTGTTTCGTTAGTTTGTTAACTTACATCTAATATTATTAATGGTTTCAGTATTGATTAAGAAAACTGAGAATTATTGATATAGTATGGCTTTTTATTAGGTACGTATTAATAGTAATTTTATAACTAATTACACCCATTATGAGGTACAACTATAGCGTGCGGTCTACCGGGACTTTTACACTATGGCGTGCGGTCTACCGAGACTTTTACACTTAGTTAAATAGACAGGTCAAGCCAAGTCAGGTGGGGTCTTCAATGATCCCTCATGGGTAGGGGTAATAGGGTCCGGTGGGTCTCGGTAGGCTACGATACTGCGGCAGACCGCACGCTATAGTAGCGCCCATCATGATATATGCGTACTAATATAATCTTTAATGTCAGCTTAGTAATGTTTTCAAAGATGGCTTATTTACATAAACAAAGCCATTGCAACAAGTTTTGAATAGAGAGAAGAGGATGTTGACAAAATCACAAGGTACTTCACTGTTAATTTTCTAATATATGACGAACGTATTTGGAGTTATAGAGAGTAAATTCTACGGTTTAATCAAAAACAAAAACAACACTAAATTAAATCCATCATCATTACTTACTATTATAATAGACTAATCAATATTATGACTATATTTTAGAAAAAATCTCCAGCTTCGATTTTAATCAGGGATTGTCTTCTACAGATCTAATTACAATATAATAGAGAATTCATAATAAAGAAATCGGAATCTATACTAAATTTCCAACTCATGAAAAAAGAAAAGAAAAAAGAAACACCAGTTAAGATAGCTTTTCTGAGTAAAAGAAAAAATGTAATATAAAGGAACGAGTTCACAGCTGATCGATTTACCAAGAGTGTGTTTCATACGTTATTTCAGGTGTTATTGTAATTTCACCCATGTTTTAAATAAAAAAAAATATTTGAAATAATTTAAGATTGTACTGGTTTACTTTATATAATTATATTTGTAATATTCACAGAGAAAACAACAAAAAATATCCCAAACTCTTATTTTGCAGCGGAAAAAACAGTTTGCTTGACTGACGAGTGCAGGGAAGCTGGTAAGTGTATTTATGTGTATTTTGTTAGCATACCGGTGAAATTGTAGTTAGTGCAAGGTACGTTATTGAATGAATGAAAAAAAAATGTTTTTAAAAGATTATTCTCCCGGTATCGGTACTTTCTACGTTAGTAAGTACTCAAAAAACACTCCATTTCTCACTGATTTTTATCTCAAAATTGGTCCTTTTTGTTTCAGAAACGATGAATATTTTACTTAAAAAGAACTAATTTCTTAAAATAGGCTGATATTTAAAGAAAACACATTACTCCACGGTTGCAGTTCCATTTTCTCTTAGCTATCACTGTTTACACATATAACATATATGTTATCTTACAAATTTAAGCCTCCCACTGGCCCAGCGGTATGTCTGCAGACTTACAACGCTAGAATCCGGGTTTCGATACCCGTGGTGAGCAGAGCACAGATAGCCCATTGTGTAGATTTATGCTTAATTGTAAACAATATTGTTACAATTACAAACAATATACAAATTTAACTGCCCAAAGGATATGCATTTGAACATTCTCTGCTACAGAGAAACTGACTACTTATAGAAGTTCATTTCTGTTGGTAATCTGAGACTCAACAAACCTGGTTCATGCTTTCTTGTTAAATTAGAGTTTCATAGGGCTTGTTATTTAAAATTATTTTAGATGATGAAGAAAAAGAAACATTACAGTGATATTGCCTTTTTAACTGACTTCAAATAAGCTTCGATTAAAAACCAAATACGCGTCTAAACTTAAATATAAACAAAACGAACTGCCGATGACAACAGACTGGTTGTCGAAACATCATTTTAATTTCTTATTTGTTCTTAATTGCTTTAGATGGCTTGGTGGTTTGGGCGATCGACTCGCACTCTGCGTGTCGCGAGTTCAAACCCCTGTCTCCGAACATACTCGCCCTTTTAGCCGGGGGTGGGGCATTATAATGGCATGATGAATTCCATTATTCTTTGGTAAAAGAGTTGCCCCAGGGTTGGGGGTTGGTGGTGCCCTCTCTCACTGCTGAATTAGGGACGGCTACCTAGAGAGGAGACGGGCACCACCGTGTAAATCTGCCCAAGAATGGCCGATGACGCATAAGTGTCTAAGGTGCTCCAACGGTCGTTAGCGGCTTCTGGTAAGAAAAAGTTTTACATAAAGTTAACAATACAAGTGACTCGTATTATAACTTGAACTCCTGGGAACAAACATTAGACCTCACGATATTATTAAGTAATATCCGAGTAGTGTCAGGCCTAAGAATATTAAGTCAAAAATCGAACACTTATAAATAAAAACTTAAAAAACACAAAAAGCTGAAAAACGTAAAATGAAATTTGGCGTTGTGTGTGGGTTAAATAGATATCCTTTATCGGAAATCAGCTGGTTTTTTTTTTCTAATTTCGCAGTCTTTGCAAATGTTGGCAAAATATACATTCGTTTTTCTCGCAAAGTTTAGAACGCATGTGACTTGAGAATTGCCATTCCTAGGATTATTTTTAGCGAAACAACTGTACTTCATTTTATCAAAAACTGATTTATATTGTTAAGTCTCTGGTCGTTTGTTAATTTCCGGTATAAATTCTTCCCGAGAAACTTCAGCGATACAAGTCCTTTCTTAAATAAAACGAGTTTATTCTTTCTCAATACAACTTTGCAATACACAGAAGTTCCACGGTCACTTTAATTTAAACACACGCTATAATTTACAACGATTCACGCACTTTACTTACGGTCACTACCGCTCGCTTGGCTCAATTATCTCTCTCTATCTGCTATTATTTCTCCGCTTTATTCGCCGGGCTTATATACTAAAATAGAGGTCGCCTGGTAAAGACTAGTGTTGCCAGGACAATTCACGATCCTTCTAGAAACTCATCACGTGTTACCGACGTCATGTGACTTCCGCTGTCGTAACAATATTAATTGTATTTGGAAGAAAAACCCTTGCCATGACATTTAAAATATTGAAGGTAAATGATATCGTAAAGTATAAATATAGAGGACTGCCATTGCCTAATATCGGCTAGAGGGAGTTTGACGTGACTAAATGAATGTTTAGCTCAACGTCACGAATTTTATTGAAAATTTAGGAGACAACTTGAACGATGTAAAATACGATTTAAACTAGATTAGGGTAATCATAGTACCAAGAAACTTTTAGTAATACAAAAACTTAAACTCTTATCTGTTATCACAATACTTTCGTCAGCCTTGTTTATTTTTCCCTACTGTACATAATTAATCAGACCGTTTCATAATGATTCTTTGTACAACACCAGATAAGGCATGTTTGTCGAATTAATCGGCTACAAAATGAGGACATGGCTTGTACAAACTGCAAAGATATGTTATCACTTGACCCAGCTACGCCATAATAAACGAATCTGAGCTTTCATTCAAACTGCTCACTTAATTCTGTCGAAACACAAGTAGGCCACATGGATTAATAATAAGGCAAACTTTATTCCATCAAACAAAGATGTGTCAGACGTGTAATTCTTTTTGACGGAATAGAGTAATTGCAAAAAGTATACAGCGCCATAAATTACGCGAATACTGCTGCCTCCTCAGTTGTCTTGTCAAATATTGCATTTATCATAGGTATAAAAGAAAACTGTAACATCATATGAAAATTATAATTTTTCAACACTGACGTAATTGTGAACGTGTTTGAAATTGTTTTGGCACACAGTTTCTACCTCATGTTATCGCTTTAGAAATATGACAATGGAAAACTCCAAAATTACAGACTTAAAAATGATATTTTTGCGAGACAAAACCTGATAAAATTCCATCTCAGAACGCAGGAAAACGTGGATTTTACTGTCTATGTTTCAAAATTTTCCAGTAGAAACATGTCTCTGGATCTCTTTGGCCTGGCATGGCCAGGTGGTTAAGGCACTCGACTCGCAATCTGAGGGGCGCGGGTTCGAATCCCTGTCACACCAAACATGCTCGCCCTTTCAGCCGTGGGGGTGTTATAATGTGACGGTCAATCCCACTATTCATTGGTAAACGAGTAGCCCAAGAGTTGGCGGTGGGTGGTGATGACTAGCTGCCTTCCCTCTAGTCTTACACTGCTAAATTAGGAACGGCTAGCGCAGATAGCCCTCGTGTAGCTTTGCGCGAAATTCAGAAACAAACAAACAAAGTCCTAGCGGCGACTACTTGCTACACTCGACGATTTGTCTTCTCAGGTACATGAATCAATTTACGGCCCTGCTTGTTTTAGGTTTTAATCATGATAATCAAGTATTATTATGAATGTCATAGAACAGTTTCAACTCTATTAGGCATTACAAGTATGTTGATTTGTTGTTAAGCACAAAGCTACACAATGGGCTATCTGTGCTCTTTGCCCACCGTGGGTATCGAAACTCAATTTTCAGCGTTATAAGCCTTCAAACTTACTGTTGAGCCACCGGAAGACAGCTGATTGTGTTCAACATAAAAATCCAATAAAAGAGTCAAATAAGGCTATTGTAAGCATTACTCAGAGGTTCTACTGGCATAACTCATTAAGGTACGCATTGAAATTTTCAAAAACATAAATTCTCAAATCAGGTTTGTCCTCAAACACACAACTCCAAAATAACTGCATGAAGCAGTGCTGCGTAGTAAGCCTACAAACTATAATTGCTATTTGATTCTGAGGCTAATAAACAAGTCTTAATAAAATAATACATATAAATATCGAGCAACTCAAAACTAGCCTAACCTTAATTCAAACTTGTACTTATCTTTTCATTGATTAAAACCGATTTAAATATAATATTTCCAGTTTTACTTTTGATTTATATCATGTTGACAATAGGTAGCGCCACACACATATATACCAAATTTTCAAATTAATTAATTTACACAATTTTTTTATGGTGCTCTTCCACACCACTGAAAAAACTTAACATAAAATGTAATAATCTCAGAAGGTCTAAGATTTATCTTGTAAGGTTGTAAAGAACCCCCTTGAAATGGTCAAACTAAATGATTGTAGCTATTATAGATCTAGCTATAGTAAAGTTACATGATGCACAAAGCTATCTTGGAATTAGAATACATTATATAAAGTTACAAGAAACATAAAACTACAAATAATTGTAAGTGTAGATGTTTGATAACTATAAGACTATAATGCAATGATTCCGTTTATAAAACGTTTGTTTTGAACAAGTTTCAAGAAGATCAATAATTGCTGTTTATAAGAGCTTCAGTATTCTATTATTATTATTAAGGTTTTCCAGTGAGAATGATATCCATACCTCTTGACTTCCAAATATTCGTGTAACTACATACTAAGAAATCTGACCCAATTATGAATCCTTTATTTCAGAATAATTTTGGTTTTATTACTAAAAGTATGGTTTACTTTTAAATTACTGTTTCATCTTAACTGTAATGTGTTTGAGATGTTTAAAAATATTCCTAGGTTACGCCAGTTCTTAAAAAATAATTATTGGAATTTGCATATTTGTAATCCTCTTTTAATAAGTTTTCATCTGCCAAGGTTTACTGGCAAATTTTGAAGATTCACTAAGCATAAGAACGCATGAAGAGATCTACATATTTATAAATATTTTTTTTATTACAAACGATCTATCGTATGTAAAAGTTTATTTGTAAATTTTGATGCACTGTTATGTATAAAGAGCACATTAAACATTTTTGTGGTGCAATTCGTTAAGATTTCTCAAATATCAGTTTTAACTTGTAAATTTTGAAAAAAAAAAACTTTACTAGGCCTGGGCGTTAAGATCCACAAATAAACTTTGGCACTAACATATTAATTTGCATAACATAATTTTTACAATTATCATCCTGAAAAGGACGGATTTTTGATGATAACATAATTATTTAAATTCATAAATAATGTACAATAATTTGACATACAAGGTTACTGTTTCACTTTATATTGTTACGTCTCCGTTTGTTAATTGATTTTCCGTAAACTTCGTTCCGACGAAACTTAAGCGACACAAGTCCTTTCTTAATAAAACTGGTTTATTCTTTC